CGGAAGACTGAGCAATGGCAACATTCTCTCATTCTACTCTCTTATTCTTCACATTTAGAAGCCACAAACACTCGTATACCTAGTTCTTTTCATCTCTCATTCTACTCTCTTACTTTTCAAAATCGGAAGCCACATAATCACTTGACCTAGGTATCGAAACGTTAAAGTAAGTTTTACGATTTTTAATTTTGAGTAACCAGGATCTTTTGATTCTCTCATATTGTTCATTGAATTAAGGATGTGAGCGAGATATGTTATTGGTTCAGTGTTCTATACAATTGCTGTCTAGTTATTTCTGCTGCGCCTAAGAAGTTCTTGTGTTGAAGTTAAGAATCAGTGTGTTGTTCTCTATTGGAAGAAGTTGGATTGGTTCTGTGGTAAGGTATTTTTATCTATTTTCAGTATTACATTTACCTCTGAATAGAAATAACAGATGATGAAATGATATGGTTAATTTGATGTTTTCCTTGTTTTCCCATGTTTTAGCTGAAAGAGACTGCCCAAGAATGTGAATGTTGCCTTTAGGATGTTCTCTGTTGAGGAATATATTGAGTAAACCCTCAATTTCATTCCTAAAGTATTACTCTCTCCACTACTGAGAATTATATAATTAATCCCCCAATCCTTAGATATTAGAAATCATTAAGTAGTCCATCAAGTTTTGAAAAATCTATCAATTTTGTCTCAAATTTAGGAGTGAGAAATACTTGAGCTACTAAATCGATGGTTTATCCAAATGTTGCTTGAGAAAATAGATATTGGACTTTAAAATATGAGTGATAACATGAACTTTTAATTGCTGTTCAGATTAATCATCTAATTAGATGATCATGAATTGTGGCTGATATGTTAGTTTAAATTTTTAATTTAATGTTGTGTTAAGCAAGGGTTAAATGGCTAGAAAGTATAAACAATACATCTATGAAGTGTTGTTGTTATATGAAGGATGGATGAATTGGTCATTTGAATGGTTTCTATATTTATTATTTGTGGTTCTGGTAGGAAATGTCCCTGTTTGTGGATAAATGTTATGCTCTTTTTTATTTTATTCATCCACTGTAGTTCTATAAAATTGAAATAATTTTTGTTCAAGGTTCTCCTTTTCTCTTGTTTCATCCCATTAACTGTAGGGTATTGCACCATTGTCCCAACATAGTTTGACATGGGGCCTTCAAGTTAGATTTCCCATGATCAAATGATTTGGAAGTGGGGCAGTATATTGAAGTTATGCTACATGTTTAAGTTTAATTAAATTTATTTGTTTAGCTAGTTTGGCCCATCTTTTGACAACACGATAATTTCCTTTTAGTTACTTCTTTAACATGCGCTGTTCTTCCTCTGTTTTTTATGTGTTCCATGACAGCAAGTTCAAACTCCATTGTTGACTGTATGCTGACTTTTATATATAATATTGCAGTGCCTAAAAAAGCAAGAGAGCTTTATCTGTATGTGAGAAGGTTAGTTGAAGAACAAAATCAAGTGTGTTCATACTTTGTCTTCTCTGACTTTTGGTTTGACATTTGTTTTGTTTTTTAATCTTTTTTCTTCCGTTGTATGTGACTCCCTGGCTTCGTATTTTTTCTTAATGTTGGTGACAATATTCTTGCTCTGATATGTGGAATTTGTACTAATCATTTCAATTGATTGGTTGAAGACAGCCTTTGGCTATTATTGGCACTGATGGGTGCTTCTAGTTTTGTTATGTACCGAATGAAATATCATAATGTTTGGGTTCCAAGTTTTATGATGTACCTAACAACAATGCATATATTTTCCTTTTTAAACTATCTGCAAGTTTTAACCCTCAATTTTTGTGCACAACATTAACACATTGTAGGTTCTACTTGCATTCTTGAATGAGTTTTGAATTAATTTCTTGAGAAGAGATTAGAAATTCAATCAAGTAGAACACAAAATAATGATAAAGGCATTCATACCTCATTGATCCCACATGGCTTGTCACTATAATTAGAAGGGGAGTCTGATCTTTATAAAAATGGTTGAAAAGGAAATATACTCTCTAAAGGTAACTCACGGATGGAAAACTTGAGATGGAGAAAAAGTATTCAGAAAATCACCATAACATCTCGTGTACCATACTACTAACTGTAGCACATTTTTCAGCCACGCACACTACCGCATGGTTGGTTCTTGATGTCAACCAGATTTTCTTTCTTTATCATTCAAGATTCTAGCTTCCTGTTGACTTCTCAATTTAATACCATTCATTTTATGTTCGTTTCTGTTAAAAGTTCCTATTTATTTATCATCTTAGGTGATTTTTTTAAATCACAATTCCACGTATATGAGTAATTCAATGTATTATTCAGTTTAGACTTGTATTTTTTAGTTGATTAGTTGATCAAGAAAATCCAACATAGTGTTCTGATAGAAAAAAAAAAGAATAATCCAACATAGTGGAAAGCCAATTTGTAGAAACTCTCTCATATTAACTTCTTGTGCAGGTACATTTTAGAAAATGACAGATTTTTAACTACTAGACTCTCACCTAGTGCATTTCTCTTAAAGGGTAAGTTCATTGTGATTTTCATAAGAGAAATAATCAATTTCTTATTTCTTTTCCTGTATGATGAATTTTACACCATTTTATTAGATTCATGCATCTTCAACTTTTTAAGAATTTTCGTTTTCTAATAATTGTTGTATTGTACTATATTGAATTTTCTTATTTCTTTTAGGTATATTGATTTTTTCATGAGAGAATAATTATGGATAAGAGTTGGATACAACAACCTAGATCATCTAGTAGGTATTTGGATGGATTGAAAAATTTTCTAGACTTTGCATTTCAAAATGTTGCCCAAAGAGATCAAATTTTATGTCCTTACAAGAATTGCAACAATTGTTCTTGGGGTAATCGAGAGGAAGTGCATGAGCATTTAGTTTGTGATGGATTTGATAGAAATTATAAGAAGTGGATTTTTCATGGAGAAAGTGGATCTTCAAAAAAAGCATATGATAATGAATGTGAGAAATTTAGTATGCATGATGATTTAGATGACCTATTAGAGGAGACCTTTATGATGTCGACAGATTTAGGAGAAAATCAATTTGATGACATTATAGATGAAGATAATGAAGAGCTTGATAAAGAAACTACCAGGTTTTGCAAATTGGTAAATGATGCCCACCAAGAAGTATACCCTGGTTGTAAAAATTTCTCCAAGTTATCAATCATTGTTCGTCTACTTCATATTAAGAATCTTCATGGTTGGAGCAATGTGTCATTTAATATGTTGTTACAATTGCTAAGAGAGTTGCTCCCCGAAAACTCTTGCTTGCCATCAACATTCCAAGATTGCAAGTTTATCATTAAGGACTTAGGTTTTAGTTATGAAAAAATCCATGCTTGTCCTAATGATTGTATCTTATTTCGAAAGGAGTATGAGAATGAAGATACATGCCCTAAGTGTCATTCTTCTAGGTATAAAAAAATGAAGGTTAACAATTCTAGAAGAAAAGTTCATCGTAAGGTAGCTTCATCTCTAATTCCAGCCAAAGTTTTGAGATACTTTCCTTTAGTACCAAGGATCAAGAAGCTATTTATGTCATCAAAAACTGCTAAATTAATGACATGGCATGATGAAGGTCGGACCAAGGATGGAAAACTAAGGCATCCAGCAGATTCACTTGCTTGGAAAACCTTTGATTCTTTACATCCTAATTTTGCATCAGATCCTCGAAATGTTAGGCTTGGGTTAGCAAGTGATGGATTTAATGCATATAAGAATATTGGCAATCAACATAGTGTTTGGCCGGTAGTTCTAATGACATATAATTTAGCTCCGTGGGATTGTATGAAGCAACCTTACTTGATGTTGTCTTTACTTATTCCTAGTCCTTCTTCCCCTAAGAGCAGTATTGATGTCTATTTGGAACCTCTTATTGATGAGTTAAAAGAGTCTTGGGAAAACGGGTTTGAAACTTATGATGCTTATAGTAAGCAATTATTTCAGGCATATGTTTCACTACTTTGGACAGTTAGTGACTTTCCTGCATATGCTATGTTATCAGGTTGGAGTACAAGTGGAAAATTGGCATGTCCTATATGTAACTACCACACATGCTCTAGGTACTTGAAGAATAGTAAAAAGATGTGTTATATGGGTCATCGAAGATTTTTAGACTCAAAACATAGGTGGAGAAAATATAAAAAGTGTTTTGATGGTACACAAGAATTGGGAGTAGCACCTATGCCATTAACAGGATCTAACATATTGGAAATATTAGGTGATAGAAAAAATGTATTTGGAAATAATCAAAAGAGGAAAAGACAAAAAGGTGATCCATGGAGCAAAAAAAGTATATTCTTTCAGTTGCCATATTGGGAGACTAATTTGCATCGTCACAATCTAGATGTGATGCATATAGAAAAAAATATATGTGAAAACTTGGTTGGAACATTACTAAATATAAAGGGGAAATCAAAGGATAATCTCCAAGCCCGCCTTGACTTAGTAGAGATGGGTATAAGAGAAGAAATTCATCCTAAAGACATAGGGTCAAATAAGGTATTTCTTCCTCCTGCACGATTTACAATTTCTTCAAAAGAAAAGGAGATATTTTGTGGTGTTTTAAAAGGAGTGAAGGTTCCAGAAAATTATGGTTCAAATATTTCTAGATGTGTTCAACTTGAACAACATGATATTTCTGGGCTTAAAAGTCTTATTACATTAATGAAGCAAATCTTGATTCAGAAAATGTTGAAAGGGTAAGTGAAAGTTATTAAATTGATATAATTACTTTTGATTTTATTTAGCGATACACACATTAATATCTATTTTGAAAAATATAGGTTAATAAAATGGCCGTTAAAACATGGAAGTCCATGACTAATGAGGTAAGTCTAAGACTTAGTTTCATTTTAAAGTAATTTGTTGTTGATTGAATCACTTTTTTATGACAATTGAATCAGGAAAAAAAGACTTATTTTGATACAACAGCTAAAATCAATGCAGAGTCTAAGAAATTGCAACATATTGCATTAAATGAAAGGTTATTTTTATAATTTATTATTTTATGATGATTTTTATTCACATAAATAATGATTTATGACATTTTTCATTTTGATTTTGTTGATTCTAAATAGGTTGGCTCAGTCTAATCAAATAGGTATGTTGCTAATTTTTAATTTATATCAAGTTTTTAACAATGAAGTGAGTTAGAATAAGAAATTGCATTAGTATACGTTATAAGGATTAATTACATTTGTTTCTCTTTTTTTTACCATATTTATATGGATATATGGTCTAAATAGGTAAATGCACTCCACTTGGCACAAGTAGAACAATCAATGATTTTCAAATAAAACAAATGGGAAAAAAGAGAACATAAGCCCAAAGTTCATTTTGATATGACTAACTTGGGTAAGTCGAAAGAGGGAAAAACTCACAAGAAACAACACAAGAAGAGTAAGTTGAGAGAGTTACATCTTGGTGGTTTCATTTTGTTATATTATTTTGACTTATGAAGAAACTTATTCTATTTTATTTCATTCTTGTCTTTTTCTTTAGACATTCAAAATAAGGAAAATCTTGCTAAAACCATTCAGGTTAGTATCTTGTTCTAATTTTATTTCCTGTTTTGGAATGAAATGTCCTAGGATCTAGTAAGGAAAGAAATGAGATCTGAGATTGGTCCCTCCTCTATTTTGCAGAATATTGACTACTATGAGAGTAAAAATTAAATTAATGAGATTTCTTTTTTCGCATCAGAGAGTGTTTTCCAGTCTATCATTAAAGATTATTTTCTTATAAAAATAAGAATAAAAAAATGAGAACTACGAATATTCTTAACAACATAAAAAACAGGAAAAATGATATTATAAATAAATTAAACACACACACAAACCCTTTAATAGATCAACCCAAACCCTCTGACAATGTGTACTACAAAAGCACTTGAAGTTATAGATTTTAAAAATAACATAAATGATTGATTACAAGTTGGAAGTGTGCTGGTTTGAGTTATGTTCTAGGGGCTTTAAGTCAAGAAAGGGTAAGAAATAGATTTACATGGGGCAAGAACTCATGTTAAGGAGTGAGATGGATATCTCGGTACTTCAAATAGATAGAGTAACAAGTGGAATAATCATGTATGGATATAGATTCAGTTAACAAGTACATTAAGAACCATTATTTACTATCCCATCTAGGTCTCAGGTGAATCGTACCAGCCCTATTAGCCGAACTTAATCAGTTAAATTACAGATGATGGCATGTGATATTATCATTTTCTATTCGTCATACAAAGATTCCAATTACAATTACTGGAGGGGAACATATATATCATCAAGGCTCAAGCTTTTCTTCAATCCTGAATGATTTTAATTTATTTTTTTTGTGTTTTCAGTATTATAAAAACCATACTGCTATCCTGCTCATTACATGCTTGTGGGGCAACATAAAATTATATGAATTATACTCTTATTTTATTTTATTTTTCTTAGCAAGAAGAAAACTGTTAGCAACACATCTCTAGGTTACTTTTCCTATTTTAATTAACTAATTCTTACTTTAATAGCCAAAAAAAAAAAATTTCAAACGACCTAGCTGTTTACTTCACAGAACAAAGATGACAGACAGTGGCTGAATCTACCAATTCTAATTTCTAAGGAATGAGTTAAGAGTTTAGGACAATATTTAATAGCCATTTTTTATACTTGTTCTTAATTTTTTATACCTTTATTTTGTTTATGTTGCAGGTTTTAGAGTGAATATGGTGGTGGTGGTGGTGGTGGTTGTGGCAATTTAGATCGTGTGTTTATTGAAGACATCTTACTATTTGATATGGAAGTTACACAATTCAAAATGAGAATTCATAGAAAAATGTAACAGTGTCACTTAGATGATTTTGGTTTTATCTTTGACAAAGAAGAAATTATATGTTATTGCAAACTTGAAAAATTTGTGTTGCCTTTTGAATGATACCATGATGGACAAAAAAGATTTAAATAAAAAGTTTATCTTTATTTTAATTCATTAAATGCATAACTTCATGCTTGCAAGTGTTACAATATAGTAAATTTTCAATTCACTATTTGAATTAATAAGGAAGCAATGGATTCAAAGTTGTTATGATTTATATGTTTAAAACATAAATTTGTAACATTTGATAAATGTGGCAAAAGGTGTCAATTGACAACATTTATAAAATGTTACCAGTGATATGCTAAAATGTTACAAAAGATGTCAATTTGTAACATTTATAAAATGTTACAATTGGTATGTTATAATGTTGCTAAAACCTTTTAGCAACACGGACTTTAAACTACATTTGTAAAAATGTTGCTAATTATGATTGGTAACGTTTTTCTTAATTTAGTAACATTTTTTAAATGTTGTTAAATATGAAAGATGTTGTAGTGTGTGTAACCTTGCTTCACAATTTAACTAGAAAATATGTATATGCCTAGATGTATCCATTCATATGCACGTAGTTGATGTTGGAATGTTATGACCTTGTTGGAGTTGCATGTTAGAGATACCATATCCAATGGTATAATTGCATACTTACACTTTTCTTATATGTTGAATGTAGTTTACACTTTTCTTATATGTTGAATTTAGTATCTTAAGAAAATGGCTCAGCCATATGATACAACTAGTGGCACTTACAAGAAAGCCTTATTGTTCCACCACTACTACATTTTAACTCTTTAGCAACATTTTCTTTCTTATATTTGTTAAAATGTTACTATATATTGAATAAATAAGTTATTTTGCAACATCTTTTTTGAAAAATGTCATTAGATAGAGTAATATTTTTTATTTCAATTTTATTCTTTTATATTATTTTCAAAATCAAAGTCCCATATCGAGTAAAAAAATGTCACATAGGTTATTTTGTAACATTTTTTTTTTAAAATGTTACTATAATTGCTTCTAAAATCAAAGTCTTATATTGAATAAAAAAAAATATATTTCTCTCATATCTAAATGTTATTCATAATTAAAAACTCACATCAAATAAACGAATGACTCATAAAGAATATATATAATCATATAGTTATACTTAAGATAAATAAACTTTGATATTTGATATATAATTAGTGGTGACTAATTAAGGATGTCTTCAATCTTCTCTTAAAGAATCCTTAGGAGTTTTGGAGACATAAAAAATATAATAATTGAGATTAATATCTGAATTAAAATTAATTATCATTTTATAAAGTTAACAAAAACTTGACAACATTATTAAAATGTTACAAAAATACTACTTTGATAACATTTGAAAAATGTTGCCTAATTGTATAAAAATGTTACTAAAAGTCTTTAGCAACATGGATTATATATAACATTTGATAATATGTTGCTAAATACTTTTAGTAACATTTTTATACAATTAAGTAAAAATTTTCAAATGTTACTAAAAATTTATTGTGTTGTAGTGTACGAAGACTTGGAGAAAATGGTTGCAAGTAACAAGGATGATATGTTGTATTGAGGCTTCCCTATGCATGTCTGCAATTTTTTTTAGAACTAGGGTGGCTTTAATGTGGATATTAATTCCATATGCAAATATCATGTTTACAAAGATATAAAAGAAATGTCATTTTGATGTGAATGGTGCCATAGAGCAATCCATAATGAGATAAAGAGACCTTGTTTAGCTTGAAAATCTAGTTGAGGAATTCAACTTCGATCTTAAAATATTTTATTGAATTTAGGTGAGTACTTTTGCATGATTATCGTGGATTCTAGGTTCCAATCTTTTAAACTTATTTATCATAGAGCTTCCTTGTATACATTATTAACATAGTTATCATCAATATTATATTATTTGAGTGTATCTTATATATACGGTTATGTTACTATTGTTATTTGAGTGTTAATTAAATTGAGGCATATTATATATTATATAGGGTTTCATTGAATTACACAGTCTTATTTGTATTGAATTGCTTGGGAATTCTGTTTCTATTTATAATTTGGGGAAAAATTAACAAAAAAGTAATTATAATATTAAAAAAAAAACACAACCCATTATAAAATGTGTCTCTTTGTGTTGAGTGAAGTCATATCCAACATAGAAAGTGTCAATATTTAGACTTAAAATCAAATATATGATTAATAAATAATGTTCATGTGTATTATGTTATTATTTGTTATGTGTATAATATTTATTGTTATTTTAATTATTAGCATGACTGAATTTTCTTTTTACAAACCTATATCTAACATGTACAATACTCCTTCTCTTTCTCCTCCTTTTTCTCCTCATCTTTCTCATTTAGGAGTTGTAGAGCAGATCACCCTAACAAGAAAAGGGTTAGACAACCGACCACTTTGAAAGACTTGACTGTTAGCCGAAACAAAGGTGAGAAGAAGAACATTGACATTGACATGAAGACGGGAGTTGGTTATGGTCTAACTAAAAATTGGTTTCATAGCTTTGAACATGTATAAATACAAGTCTAGAAGGACTTTTAAGAGCTTATTTTAGTGAAAAATATTCTTTAATTTCAACAAAGAAGCTCTCAAAGGTCCTTTTAGATTGTATCCACACAAGCTCTTTATAGCCTTGATTGGAAGAAACAAGACTTTGATTACCTATGACAACTGGGGTCATGTTCTAGAGAGTGTGAAAAACTAGATATGACAAACTATCATGATATGAAACATTTACTTTGTATATGTAATGATTGTTAATTAATTATTGAACATTTACTTAATTATAAAATTGTTATATATGTCATAGGTAGCTCACTTATGACATTTCCAACATCGATTGGTTAAGGAATAAATATGTTTCTTATGTGGGACAGCGTTGGAAGGGTTTTAAGAGTCAACTTACCAGTTCTTACATCTTTGGTGAAAATAAAGGAAAAGATCCTTGTGTAAAGTATTGATTCTTTCAATATGACTAAGTTGATTTTTTATTTTGTCTTCACCAAAACATTGTGTAAGTAACATAACTTAAAACCCATGCTTAACAAAGTAATCACCTAAGGCCTGTTAAAAAAATAATACCACAATAACATTGATTGACTACACACAAAGTCGTGTTAATGACACCTTATTTGTAAAGAAATCTATAAAAAAAAATGAGTAAATATTATAAAACCCTAGATAACAAAAGAAAATGGTAATTGTATTTTTAAATTTGTTTCATGAATCCCTTTTTCAAATCAAGCTTTGGCGTTGAAAACTAGATTGTCTTATAAATTATAGAGACAAATTATAAGAGTGCCAACAAAAAAAATGGTATAAAAAAAATATACCAAACACAAATAAATGGGGATAGAAAGGATAAGGGAGTTAATACAACAAAGTCATAATGTTTTTCTCAATTCGGAACTATATATTTACTTTTTGGCTTTCCTAGCAAGTAAATTATTAATCGTTTCAAATTGTTACATGTGCTCTTTTTCACCTCAAGTCTCTTTATGATTTTTCTTGATGCTAAATCAAGCCTCTTCATGTAATCCACTAATAGTTTAACATTGTTACAAATAATCTTTTTTTTTTTAATTTTTTATTTTAGCCTCATAGATGATGACACTTGCAAAACCTAAAAAAAAAAATACAAGAAAATAGTTGAATTGTATTTTTAAATCTATTCAAAAAAATCCTCATTTTAAATCAAGCTTCGATTTTAACCGATTAGATTGCATTATGAGTAATAGAGACAATTTATAAAAATGTATAAAATAATACTATTAAAAAGATATACCAAACTTAAATAATTGTTGATAGAAGGATAAGAGAGACAACACCACAAATTTATAATGGTTTTTTTCTTAAATAAGATTATATACAATTCTTCACATGCACCAAGTAATCTATGAACTATTTTACATTATTACAAGTATTCTTTCATTTTTACCTCTTCATAAAAACTCATACAAAAAGGACAAAAGTCTACACGTTTTCACTTTATCTCTCCTGAAAAACTCACAAACACTCACAAGCATTCTTTCTTAGCTATGTCTCTTCAAACTTTTAACAAGTTCACAAAGAAAATTTTTAAGGATAAAGTGATCCTAACCGCGACTTGTCGATAGAACTAACATTATAAATTCTAATCCAAAAACAATAGAAAAACTCTTATAAAGAGAAAATTCATATATGTATTGATTTCAAATCTTCCTTGGATGCTTACAAGAGGGTCCTATTTATAGAGTATAATAACAACCTCTCACTTAATTGAAATAAATTTTCTCTAACTCTTACTAAGTCTCCACTAAACATTTAAATTCAACTATCATTTATTTTCCACTAAGTAACCTAAAAGATATGGAAAACTATCTAATTTATTTAATAAAAATAAATAAAACAAAAATAAAATTTTTTTTAATAACTTTTAGGTCCAAAAACTAAGTAAACTATCTAATTAAAATCCAACTCATTGTAGCATCTGTAATAATTGATATTGGATTGATAAAATTCTCCAATTTCTTATTTTTAACTCTTTATTTTTTTTTAATAATTGAATCTTCTAGCAATTGAAAATTATATTTTAAAGTATTAGACGTTGAATCACTACTTTTGTAAAAGAAAAAATTTCACTCGTATACGTAATTATTTGCATGTTAACATTAATTTCTTTGACCTAAGTGTATTTATTTCTGCTCAAGTTTATTCCTCGTATAAAATAGTATGGTACTCCTTATATTCTCCTAGTATACTTTCTATGACGAATGATCCCGTAGAGTAAATGTAATGATTAAAAATGTGGTAGAGTAAATGTTCCTGAAAACATGAGCAAAAAATTTAAATTATTACCCTCCTAGTTGACTGTAGATAAAAATCTGCAATCAAATCCAACTATTTACCACCATGGCTCTACCTTGAGTTCCCTTGCACAGCTTTCCAACTTAGAGAAAAGGAAATTTGAGTAACGAAAAGGAAAGAAGAGTAAAAAGTGAAGCGAAAAACGGAAAAGGAAAAAGCAGAAGCCTCCACGTCACCCAAATTAATACGCATTCTTCCCCACCACATGGTCCATACTCCATACTCCATAGCAAGCAACTTTACCTTTATCTTAACCCACGTTGAGTCACCTTAACCATAGCAGGCGGTCACTTCCTAACCTAACCTCACACTGTTCCCTCGTGGTCCCCCAATCCCCCTAAACTCACCTCACTCATTCCCCTTTTTCAATAACACTCAAATAAAAATAAAAACTACTTATTATATATCTTTTCTCGCCGTGAGTATATAAATACATAGTTATATACATATATATCCACCTCTTCCCCTTCTATATATGACTCTATTCCCTCATGGCTCATGGCTCATAGGTTAAGTTAAACCCATGTCTTCGTAAAATTCTCTCTCTCTCACAGCAAAATCAGAAAGAAACACTGCAGTTTAGAGCAGAGACATATATCCTCTCTCAGAATCAGAACAGTTAGTTGAGTAACGGTTTTCTTAGTTTTTTCTTATTTTATTTTATTGGGAGAATTAATTAAAAGAAAAATAAAATGATTACCTGGGGCGATCTGTACACGGTGTTGACGGCCATGATTCCGCTGTACGTGGCGATGATTCTGGCGTACGGTTCGGTGCGGTGGTGGAAGATATTCTCGCCGGACCAATGCTCCGGCATAAACCGGTTCGTGGCGATCTTCGCCGTGCCGCTGCTCTCGTTCCACTTCATCTCGAGGAACAACATTTACGCCATGAACTTCCGGTTCATCGCCGCCGACACGCTCCAGAAAATCATCATGCTGTTCGCGCTGGCGATTTGGACCAACTTCACCGCCAACGGAAGCCTGGAGTGGATGATCACCATCTTCTCCCTCTCCACATTGCCGAACACGCTCGTCATGGGAATCCCGCTCCTCATCGCCATGTACGGCGACTATTACGGCAACCTCATGATCCAGGTCGTCGTTCTCCAGTGCATCATCTGGTACACGCTCCTCCTCTTCCTCTTCGAGTACCGCGGCGCCAAGCTTCTCATCATGGAGCAGTTCCCCGAAACCGCCGCCTCCATCGTCTCCTTCAAGGTCGACTCCGACGTCGTTTCGCTCGACGGAAGGGATTTTCTCGAAACCGACGCGGAAGTCGGCGACGACGGCAAGCTCCACGTCACGGTTAGAAAGTCCAACGCCTCCAGACGCTCCTTTATGATGACGCCCCGCCCTTCTAACCTCACCGGCGCCGAGATTTATAGCCTCAGCTCGTCCCGTAACCCCACGCCACGTGGCTCTAACTTCAACCACGCGGATTTCTACTCCATGATGGGGTACGCGCCGCGCCATTCTAACTTCGGCGCTGCGGATTTATACTCCGTGCAGTCCACGTCACGCGGCGTCACGCCGCGCCCCTCCAATTTCGAGGAGAACGCTGCACCCGCGCCGCAGGCTATCAGCTCCCCCAGGTTCGGGTTTTACCCTGCGGTGCAGACTGCGTACCCGGCTCCGAACCCGGAATTCTCTTCTGGCTTAACCAAGAGTGTCAGCAAGAACTCACAAACACAGCCACAGCCTCAGCCTCAGCCTCAGCCTCAGTCTCAGCCTCAGGCGCTACAGGTTCAACCTCAGGCTGCTCCTCCTCAAGTTGCTCAACCAGCCAACAGTGCTAACAAGGCCAGCCACGATGCTAAGGAGCTCCACATGTTCGTGTGGAGCTCCAGCGCGTCACCGGTTTCTGAAGCCGGCGGCCTACATGTGTTTAGTGGAGCCGATTTCGGAGCGTCCGATCAGTCCGGACGCTCCGATCAAGGTGCCAAGGAGATTAGGATGTTGGTTGCTGATGACCATACTCAAAATGGGGAAACCAATAAAGGTAGTACTAGTACTAGTACTAGATTCTTCTTTCCATATACAATTTCTTATTAAGAGATAAAAGTTCTTTTGAAGGTTGCTTTAAAAGTTTTTTTTTTTTTTTAAGTAGTGAAATTTTAAAAACGCTTATATATGATTATATCTAAAAGGTCTTTACATTAAACTAATATTATGATTGGAAACCGCAAATAGATAAAACTTCAATTTTGGTGCTTTTGTTTTTGTGAAAATGATTTTGATTTTGGTTATTGTTGAAGCTGCGCCGGAGGGAGAGTTTGCTGCGGAAGAGTTGAAGTTTCCGGGGAAAGAAGGGGAACAAGCGGAGGAAGAGGGAGAGAAAGCAGGACCTGCTGGGCTTAACAAGCTGGGTTCAAGTTCAACGGCGGAGCTGCACCCGAAAGGCGCCGGCGCCGGCGGCGCGAAACACATGCCTCCGGCGAATGTGATGACTCGACTCATACTGATTATGGTGTGGCGGAAGCTTATTCGCAACCCCAACACTTACTCTAGTCTCATTGGTGTCATTTGGTCCCTGGTGGCTTTTAGGTAAATTGACGAGTTTGTGGCCAAATTTTTAGATGGTTTTGACTTTTGAGTTTTGGGTATTACTGTAGTGTAGGGTGGTTATTTTGTGTTGACGTGGTTCTGATATATATGATTATTAATTAATTCATTGCAGGTGGCATGTGAGCATGCCGAAAATAATAGAGAAATCAATCTCCATACTGTCTGATGCTGGTCTTGGAATGGCTATGTTCAGCTTGGGTGAGTGGCCACAATGATTTCTCCAAATTCTTGTTCTTCTAATAATTCCATTCTTCCTTTATTTGCAATTCCTTTCTTCTTTAACGAAAACAGGATTATTTAAGACGACTCCCTTTTCTGGTGTAAAAACGTACATTGAAGAGAGTAACTGGTGTTCATGTGATTGTATATTTAATAATATTTTTGGTCACATGTTTTTCTTGTACTTATTACATTAAAATACAGCAGTTTGTTGAAAAATAGTAAAATGAGAATGAGATGAAGGGGGTACAGCGGCATGGGTTGAATGCGATGGTAAGATGAATCTATGAAAAGCATGGATTTGGGGGAAAGCAAGTAAGCATTTTGTGACCGTCCATTGTATTGGGGTTTGTTACCACATAACACAAGCAGATGATGTTGTTCGCTAGGCGATAGTATGGGGATTGCATAGTGATATAGTGTAATGTCCCCGACATGTGGGGTCTGGTCTTGAACAACGTCGCTATGAGGTCCATGGCGGTGGTGGGGACCGGTACCATTTTTGGACCCAAATTAGGCAAAGGTAGTTGATTTAGACGAATCAAGCAGTACTGCAAATATCTTTATCATACACAACAACTTTAAAGCATTTTCCCATTATGCCGTGGCTGTAAATTTTGGATGCCTTTTTTCTCTTTTCCCCTTTTACCCTTTCTGCTCAAAAATCATTGAGGCTCTACCTATTGCTTCTGTAGGTCTCTTCATGGCTCTTCAACCCAAGATAATTGCGTGTGGGAACTCCGTTGCTACATTTGCCATGGCTGTTCGATTCCTCACAGGTCCCGCCGTCATGGCAGCAGCTTCCATCGCTGTTGGCCTACGTGGCACCCTCTTACGTGCAGCTATTGTTCAGGTATTAACCTTGACTTCTAATCATGTTTGAGTGTGATTAATTCAACACTGTTAATTCTTATCCTTACTTGCGTGTGCAAATTACCTTAATATCTTGGAATGCTAAAAGTTAGATATTTTTATTTTCAATAGGAAACAGATTTTTGAACACCCAATACATGTCTACACCCCCATACAGATAAGAAGACCTTGAGAGATAGGAAGTGAAAAAGAAAAAGTAATTGATATACTTGAGAAAGTAAGAAATAAACAAAAATAAATAAAATTAAACGTGTCAACAGAATATTCTATATATATTTTTAATGTCTAATAACTATTAACATTTTTAAATAGTACTTTCTCTAAATTTATTTATAAAAAAATAATTAATTTTATATAGATTGAGAAAGTTCATTAAATGTATTTAATTTTCACAATATCATATAAAATATATTCTACATTTCTTAAAATATTATTAATAACATTTATATTTAATAGTACTCTTATTTATTATTATAAAAATATTTTTAAATATAAAATAAAATTAACTTAATTAAAATTTATTTATATTTTAATCTTTTTTTTGTGTGTATATAATTTTAGAAGGAGTAGTAGTTAGGAACAGTGACTGCATGGGAGATGACTGAGGTGTAATTCGAACAGTGAACAGTGAACCCCTACCTTCTAACATATTTAATTATAGGTTAAAATTTATTAGAGTGACATAAATAATATATAAATAGTGTGTTTAGATAATGTGTTATTATTGACATTTTCCTTTTACCCTATTTTATACAAAATTTTAATCGATTTTTATGTGAATGTAGTTTTAGTTATCATGTTAAGCATGATTTAAAGAAAAGAAAAAATAGAATGATAGCTTACGGATATGTAATTATTGTTGAACATAGGCTGCACTTCCACAAGGGATTGTGCCATTTGTGTTTGCCAAGGAATACAACGTTCATCCACAAATTCTTAGCACAGGGTAAGTGACTAAAATTTCTTATTTTATTTTGTTTCTCTAAAGAAAGAAGTTGACCCTTTTTTCCTGAAATTTGTAAATTTAATTGCAGGGTTATATTTGGGATGTTGATAGCTCTACCAATTACTCTACTCTACTACATACTGCTCGGTTTGTAAAATATCTATGCAGTAGTAGCCATCATACCAGGACAGAATGAATGACCTTTTATACTTTGGGAGTTAGCATGCATATGAGGATGTGGATTTTGTGAGTGGGGAGAACAAAAATCAGAAAATAGTATCCTTAAAGCAGAGGAGATCCTTGAGAGTTTCCAAAATTTTTGGAATTTTAGAAAATTTGACCAATTGGCCCAAATCCCCATAATTGTAATCTCCTGTCAAAAGTCCAAAATACACGCAATTTTCAAGAGCTGAAAGGAACAAGTACAAGTTACGGGAGACATAGCAGAGGAAAACAGGGGAAAGCTCGCATGAATAGGGTCAATGAAATCAAGAAAATGGTTCCCTCCGTATCTGCATTGTAAATTTTAATTAGAAAGTCATGTTTGTGTCATCGAGTAACAGAGACAGCTTAGCAATTGGGTAGGGGAAATGAAATTGGAATATAAGAGGAAGATTGGTTTTTTAAGTCATTTGTTTACTTCAATTTGATTATTAAACTATGGGTGTTTTTGTCTTTGATCATCCGCGGATCCCGCAATTATTTGCGTTTGTCGTTTTTCCTTAGTCACGTTATTTATTAAGCATTTTTTATCCCATGAAGTAAAAAGAGCAAAAAGCCATCTTTTTTATTTTTCTGTTGTAAAGAGAGGCAGACCCTGAAATAAAGATGGGACCATGAGACCGAGAGTTGAACTTTCGGAACATCGTCTTTCTACTGAGTGGGGATTATGTACTTTTCCTCTGAAGTTGATGGAAGGGAAAATAATACATAAATATTTATAAATTTTCAATAAAATAAAGCAGGGTCAAGAGGCAGCACAGAACTTTTAATTGTGCTTTTTGGGTAGTGATGTAGCCACAACCCTAACTAGCTAGTAACTCGTAGTCATAAGCTTTATCAATAGTTATTATGTTAAGCTAGCTAGCGTGAGAGTGGAGGTGGGTTGGTCAGCACTCAACTTTTTTACCAGGAAAACGATGGCACTTCAAACTCATATCATCCCACGTCCAATTCAATCATCCCTTACGGATCCTTCAATTATATTCATATGGTGACAGTTGTAAGGGGAAAACAACAAAAAAGAAAAAATCCTTGTTCCAAACCTTAGATGGCCCATAAAAAAGAGACTAGGTCTATGATGAGCAGAATGAAGAGCCTCCCTTTCTACTGTTTATCATTAAGATCAATGATAAGTCATTGCCAATTTGAACTTCTATTTTGTTTTTTAATTATCCTATACATGTCAAATTTTTTTATTATTTTTAATTTCAATTGTCTATTTTCATAAGAATTTAAAAATAAAATTTATAGAATTATAGATACTAAAAAAACATGTATAAAAGCTTAAATAAGGTAATTTTAATTATAACAACTAAAAGTTAAAAGATTAAAAAATTTTAAGAACTAAGAGGTAACTAAAACTTTTTTTTAGAATAGTTCCGATTTTAAATTGAAATATAAAGAATGTTGAGTTATACTTAAACATTTTATTATTAAGGAAGACCTAACAATTAATTATGTTATTTCATATTTATGCATTATATACATTTTTTATATTACATATTTTTTTGTTAGATATAATCTTATTTAAATTAAGGGGGTGTATTGGATTAGGATTTTAAAGGACTTTTTTAGTTGAAAAAAGTTCTGTGAATTTTAAAAGACTTTGCAGGATTTTCATGACTTTTAAGATTTTGTAAGATTCCACAAGACTTTCAATCAAGATTTTAATGGATTATGCAAGACTTTTAAATTAGGATTTTAATAGATTCTATGGGACTTTGTGAACTTTGCAGAATTTCGTAAATTTTTTACATAGATAAGAGTTTAAGATTTTTTTTATACATTCAAATTTAAAAAGAGTCAAATATTAAAATAAAAAAAAAATGTCTGGATAAATAATAATAACAATAATTCTCCGTAATATCATGTCATTCTAAATAGAATTCACCCACATATTCATAGCTATATTAGTCATCCAAGCATTAGTATTTTTTCGCTCTTGCTCCTGGGTTTTAATAATAGGCTCAAAATTATGATTTTCATTGACTGGTAATGTTGAAGATGAAGGTTCATCCATCACTCCAATCGAAAATTCATCGGAATGACATTCTTTATGAAGAAAGTTATGTAGTGTCGAATATGGTAAAAATTATTCTAAACAACATTTCAAATTTTTTATAATTTGTGATTTAAAATATTTTATTTATAATTTTATAAATGATTAAAAAAAATAGTGGGACAACTACCTTACTCTCTTATAACTAAATATGTCCCTTAATTTTATATCGGTAATGAAGTAGAAATTTACAAATATCAGTTAGGAGAAAAAAAATATATCTGAAATTTGTTACAGGTACAAAATAATTTTTTTAATTTTTAATTGCTTTCAATTATTCACTCGTGAAGAAATATTTTTAGTATTGAATTCTAGGATACTGCAATGTCTTATGTTAATTTTCTTTTTTAAAATATAAAAAATCTTAATTTCATAATATAAAAATTAAAAAAAATTCATAATAAAAATAAAATAAAATAATTGTTGAGTCATAAAAGGGGAATAATAATAATAATAATAACAAATTCAAGAGAGGGAGAAAGATCGTAGTTTTTGTACTGAGAGGATTCTTCCCTCAACTAAGATCCATTCTTATCTCGAAGATCTATAGTTCATTATAGAGATCATGATATCAATTTTAGCTTTCACCTTTTTCTTTTCTTGACGCATGTTATAAAAAAATTACTACTTAAAATTTGAAATTTCAAGCATTTTTTATTTTATATAACTGAGGAACAATCTCAACTAAATAGAGTAAGTCAATTAAAGAGAACAGGGAGAAAAATAGAGCAAGTCAATGACAATATCATTTACCTATAGAAGTTTCACCAAATAGGGGAATGAAATGAGAACAGTAGTACAATATTATCTATAAGCAGTAGTGCAGTATTATTAACAAGAGAAAAAAATGGAGAAGACATGAGCATAGAAAAATAAAAGAGATGAAAAACTCACTTGAAAATTCTTGAAGCACTTAAAAAGTCACTTCAAACAATCCTCCAAAATCTTATGAGTTTGGATGGGATTGTTTTATGAATTTGGTATTTATAGATACCACTAAAAATTCCTTCAAAATCCCTTTAATACAACAATCCTTTAAAATCCCTATATTTTTTAATACCAATGGATTATTTTTAAGTTGTAAAAAGTATCAAATGAATACTAATGGATTTTAATGGATTCTTTAAAACATCTTGAAAATCCTGATTGAATACCATTGGATTGTTTTTAAGTGACATAAAATCCTGATCGAATACCAACAGACTTTTTTACTCAAAAAAAGTCTTTTAAAATCTTATGAAATCCTAAACCAATACACCCCTAAGTAAGATCACTGTAATATGTGTAGACATACATTTAATACTACTACTTATTAATAATAATAAATGAATAAATAAATAATTATCGTTTATTTAAATTAAGTAAGATCATCTTATTTGCATCGTTGTTGCCTACTTGTAATCTAGGTATGAATTTTTATCCTCTATTCCTTGTTTGATCTAGTTTTTGTTGATCTCGTTTTCTCTTGTTTTTTCTTATTTGACCCTCTTGTTTGAATTAGTTATTGGTTTTTTGTGTTTTTATTTTTTGATTTACTAGTTGGTGGTGACGAAGATGAAGAAAGGTGTGGTGTGTGGAGGAAAAAGGGTGCCACATGGAGGTGTATTGTCATTGAAATTTTTTATTTTATTCTAGGCTTCTAAGTTGATTAAAATTGAACCAAGTAGAAAGTAAGTTTTTTAACATTATCCCCAACTACGTCGACTTTAAAATCGATCTAGTAACTCCAACTTAACTAACTTTAAATCATGCTTTCTTATTAGTAACTTTAGTACTTATAATCCTCCTTTTTTTATTGGAAGTACTGTCAAATAGTAAATGTGTATACTTCTCCTAATGATGATGCAAACCTTAACTTGTCATATTGTGGGAGATTAGTCTCTCCCACTAGACCTAACACTTGTTGATTTCATCATGTAACTAATCTAAAAATTATGTTTAGTGTTGTTCTTTCCCAGATAAATTAAAAGAACACTATAACATAAATGGTATTTAGCAACATTTGAAAAATGTTACTTAATTATGTATAAATGTTGCTAATTTGTTTTAGCAACATATTATCAAATGTTGTATATAGTCTATGTTGCTAAAGACTTTTAATAACATTTTTTAAAAGTTATCAAAGTAGTATTCTTGTAACATTTTAATAATTTTTTGTAACATTTTAATGATGTTGCCAAGATTTTGATAATCTTATAAAATAATAATTAATTTTAATTTAAATATTATTACCAATTATTATATTTTTATGTCTCCTAAACTTCTAGCCTTCCTTAAGTTTTTAGGGAAAGACATTTTTAGTTAGTCACCACTAATTATATATAGAATATCAAATTTCATTTATCTTAAGTATAACTATATGAGTATATATACTCTTTATGTCCTTCACTAGTACACTGGTGCTCCAAGATGGGGGTGGTACCTGCAAAAGAGACTCCGATGCTAAAGTTAGGGTTTGTATGAGTAATAGTCTCGTATAAGTAATGCACGTACCTTGGAGTGAATTAGGGTTTCTTTGGGCTCCGGGCCTGAGATAAGATATGATAGCGGATCTCGTCTGGGGCGAGATCTTTGGTGATCAGTGATTAGATAATGGACCTCGTCTGGGCGAGATTCTCGGGAATCAGTTGTGATTCACTTGAATGCCGAGCTGACGTCGTATGATGCGTGCCCGAGATCATCTGGCATTGTGATGCCGAGCTGACGTCGTATGACACGTGCCTGAGATCATCTGGTACTGTGATGCCGAGCTTGGAGCTCGGCTTCGCGGTACGGTCAGTACACTAGCCCCCCGAGCTCCGAAGACCGTAGGTCGAGGAGTTAAGACCGAGTTCACCAGGGGGAAGTGACCCTTCGCGTATGTCCGCCTGTCAAGATGCCACGCGTGCAAAAGTCGTTTCGTATTTCGAAACGCACGTTAGTGGTCATGACGGTTATGCAATGATGGCTTCCTCTGTCATAAGGGGTCTCATTTAATGTGTGGTCAGGCGTGTCCCTTGGGTGACACATGTCGTGACCGTTTTGAAATTCTGGGGGAGAGTTTTTTCTTTTCTTTCACTCGCGCCTCTTGGCCTTTTTCACTTTGCTCTTTTCCATTCTTGTGGCTTCTTGTGCACGCTGTTGCTCTCGCTTTTCTGCTTGTCTTCCGTCTCTGTCTTCTCCGTTTCTGCTGCCATTTCTGGTAACCCCTTCGTTGTTAGGGTTAATTTCTGAGGGAGAGTACCAGGTGTTTCCTTTCTACAGTCTTCTTTTTCCTTCTTCCCCGACCTTCTTCGAGTCTTTCTCGTCTTTTCCATGGCTGGGGGAAGTGGTGCCGGTCCTTCTGCGCCTTCTCGGGGCAAGGCGCGTGGTAAGGAGGTGGCTAACGGGAAGGCCGCCGCCGAAAAGAGGGCAGACCCGCCTCCGTCTGAGGACTTGGAGC